CTGAGTTAGGCAGCTTCGACTCACGCCTGCGGAGTCTGTTTTTGCTTCTTGCTTCTATGGGCACCAGACAGCAGAGGGTGATGTGAGCACAGGTGTATGTTTACTACCAAAAGGTATCACAGACCCTTTAAAAACGCTATGTGATTCATTTGCTCTTTAGGAGGAGGAGGGTATGTTAATAGTTTGAATGCCACATGAGCTTGCATTCACTGAGTAATATATTCATGTAATTCATAGAATCTCTGAATTGGAAGGGACCGCAGAGGCCAGCCAGCCCACTCTAGGTCTGGAAGAAGAAATGTCTGCATTACACCTGACAGCTGGTCCTCCTGCCTCTGCATCAGGGCCTCCCAGGATGGGGAGCCCCTTCCTCCTGAGGCAGCCCTGCCCACTCAGACAAGGCTTAGGAAGTTTGTCCGGATCAAGCCCAAAGCTGCCTCTTTGCCGCTTCTGTCCAGTCCTCATCGTTCTGCCCTCCGGGGCCAATTAGAAAATGTCTAATTCCTTAACCGTGGCAAGTGATTCATACAGAGTTAGTATACTTGTTGAATGAATGAATGAATGAATGAATGAGACAAAGAAGTTCAGCAGAAAGAACCTGAGTTCTCGACCTCAAGAGACCCGAGTTCTCATCCTAGCTCCAAGATGTACTAGCTGGGAGACCTGGGCAGGTTGTAGTCTTTAGAGCTGGGAGGGGCTTGAGTATGGAACTGGAATCCTAAGGGACCCTTTGTTCTATAGAGGAGGAAACGGAGACCTCAAGAAGTGAGAAGTGTTGTGAAGAAAGTACTTTGAAAACCTTCAAGTCCTGTAGAAATAGGAGTCCAGTGAATGAGTATGAAGCACCTACTATGTGTGACGCCCATAGTAACATCATAGTAGACTACAATATTATTCCAAACATAGCACATTATGCACTGGGGACACAATACAGTGAATGAAACACTCCCCACTTGCCCAGAGTTTCCATTTTGATGGTACTTAGTAGTTGGAGGTATTTGAGCAAATAAATCCTGTTTAGAAGACATCCTGTGCAGTGATGTATTCTTGGCTTAGCATGGGTCACTGCTAATGGTCCTAATGGTTTGCAATGACCCTTAATGAATCTTCACATTTGGGCTTGGTTCATTGGGCCACTCCAAATTAGGTTTCAATCTGTAAGTGAGCAGATTTGTGAATTCAGCCTACTTTGGGGCCATTCATTTAATGGCTTCTGAATGGCAACTGCTAATGACATAGAACAATTCCATTTGCTGGGGACAGAAACCCTCTTCTCTATCTGGGGTAATGAGAGTGGTCTTTGATGGCGGAGCTTCCTCACCCAGCCAATATGAGCCTTTGGAAAGCTTTTTGTAGGGGCCAACTTGGATCAGCCCTTATCCAAAACAACACCAGCGTCCCCTGCCTCAGATCGTAAATAGGAGAATACCTTTAAAAGTATGAAGCATTCCATAGACACAAGAGATAGACCATGATAATCACTGTTGTTATTTCTGGAATGAACAATTGGTTTGGCTGGCCCAGAATTTAAACTCCCTCCAGGTAAAATTTAAGAGTATAGACTTTAATGATAATTTTCTTGCTAGTGGCATTAACCACTAATGTCAGATGATGATGATGATGATGATGATAGCAAATACATGGATATACATACATATACCACTTTAAGGTTTTCAAAGTACTTTATGGGTATTTGCTTTTGATCTCACAACCCTGCAAGGTAGTGCTGTTATTATCCCTATTATACAGATGAGGAAACTGAGACAAACAAGTTAAATGACTTGCCCAGGATCACACAGCTAGTAAGTATCTGGGGTTGGATTTGAATTCAGGTCTTCCTGACTCCAGGTCAAGCGTTCTATTCACTGTGCCTCCTATGCCGTTTCAGTTCAATTCAATAAGCCCGCATTAAGCACCTGTCCTAGGCCCTGGAGATACTCATGCTCAAGCACCACTTCAGAGTTCGGTGCATCTGTGGTCTCATCCATCTGGCCTTCCCTCCAGTGGTTCAGACTGGAACCCATCCTTTTCCCCCTGATGTGGATGCTTTTCCATGTTTTCCTGTGAACCTTCCACGGAGAATCCACTCCGTAGGCTAGGCAGCACCCTCAGTTTCTGCTGCTATCTCTAGTGATCCAGCAGAGTATTCTGGGACACACAAAGACAACAAAGAGAGAGGCCCAGGATCACTCCTCTTCCGAGAGGTGGCACAGGAGCATCGCTTTAATAACGCGGCATTATGGTTACATTCCGTTTTTGGAATTCCACCGAGATTCTAGGATTTTAAGTTTCCCCTTTTTGTTGTCTATTACTTGCTCATATCGCATTGTTATCCCCCAGGCAGTTAATAATCTGGCAGGGAATCTGTGTGGGCTTCTCTTGAACATAAGGTTAAATTATCATATGAATACATTTAGAACATCAACTGAATGTAACGGTGTTTCCTGACACTGCCTGGAAAAAGGGAAGACTTGGCCGGGGGCCATTTTCCTCCCGTAGGTTGCAGAAACCTCTCACAATGAAAATAACCTGCACCCAGAAATGACATAGTTTGTAAAAAAGTAATGGAAAGGATGGACCCCAGTTTTATCCAGCTCTGCATTGTGATTTTGACAGACAAAAATTAATCTAAATGGGAAGGAAACATGGCATTGGATGGATTCACTGATGTTCAACTGATTCTTTTAGAATATGTTGGGGATCTATTTCCTGGACATCTAAGTCATTTCCAAGGAAAAACTAAAACTGAATGTTGTTATTCAACAGCTAGATATTGTGAGTTAAAAATAGTACTTCTCTGATGTGCCTTTCAGGCTCCTGGTGTCAGAAGGAAATCATTATTAAATGCTAGAATTAAATGTGTTGTGCTTATGTGGTGAGCTCATTTACATTTTATGAAATAATTTCATTCGTTCTGTACTGACTGGCTTGCATGCAAATTGAACACAGTTTCAGTGAGATTATCAGGTTGTAATTTAATCAGCAATTGACTTAGAGAATCTAAATATAAACCCAGGAAGACGTTGTTAGGTGCTTGCATCTGGCTACTCCCCAGGCTGAAATATTCCCCTCTTTTCTTTGGGGGGCTTTTCTTGGTGGGCAGGGGTTCCACTGGCCTTATTTTCTTTTTCCATTCTAAGTTGCAAAGAGGTAACTAGGAAAATGCCAAAGAAACAGATTAGAGACCATGAAAGTTGGGCTGGGTCCTCTCTCTTTTCCCATTTCCCCCATCCCAGTAATGAGGTACAAAGGAGGAAGAACCTGGTAGCTGTCTAAAAACATGTAGGGATGTACAGGATGAAGTGCGTGGCATCCCACTGCATTACGGCACTCCAACAACATGGAGCCCCTTTGTTAGAAGGTAATGAATCTAAATGGGAGTGTGCTCATCGCAGGTAAGACAGGACCCAGTGCTGGACCCCAGTGGGCAAGACCATATGCCTACAATTAAGAATCTTTCTTTCCATTCAATTCAGCCGTTACTGTGTGCAAAATTCTATGTGAGCAGCTGGGAACACAGTAATAAAAATGACAAGGTCCTTTCCCATAAGGAGCTGGGGAGCAAAGAAAACCATGAGGACCCTATCTCCATATCCTCTTTGGATAGTTTTAAAGCCACCCTCAGTCCTTCAGAGTCATGACTGAGTGGATGGCTATTTGGCAGTAGGGTTTGAGGGAGACTGGAGACTGGGAGGATGGTTAGGAAGTCATTGGAGCCATTCAGGGATTGGTCTTGGGAGTCGTAGCAGTAGAGATTTCTACATCTATTTTTGGGAGGGGACAGATGGGCAATGCAGTACAAAAGGAGGAGCCTGAGAGGATTTGGTGACTCATTGGACACGGAAGACATGGGAAAGAAAGACTCCAAAATGTTGAGCCTTGTGCTCTGGGCTGAATTACTTTTACCATTGACAAAGATGGGGATGGCAGGAAGAGAAGCACATTTTAAGAAAATGGACTCACTTTACTAATATTTGTCCTTCCAATAGCGTTTATAGTTGATGCCTAATGGAGAAAATAATTCAATTGAGCCATCATTTATTAAACACCCAGGTTGTGCCAGGCACTGTGAACTTCCCTTGTGCCTTCCTTCCTGGAGAAGAATTCAGTTGAACCTAAAGGCCTTCAAGGCAGGGACTGTCTGGTTTTTGTCTTGCATCTTTAGCACTGGGTTTCAGAGTAGGGAGGGAAGCCAAGATGAATTTAGTTTTAAATACAGTAAATTTAGGTCATAAAGGGATATGTAGGTGAAAATGCCCACTGCAGTTGGGAGCTTGGGGACAAATTCTGGGTTATCTGTGAAACTGTGATAACTGTGACTCGTACGTTGATAAGGAAAGCAGGGAGTGAGATGGGCAGGGATTCAAGGACTGAGCCCTTAATTTAGGGAGTAGGGAGAGAATGAGGAGGCCAAAAGGAAAAGAAAAGGTAGGAGAACCACAGTAGGGTAAGGGACATAATAGAGAAAATGGGAGAAGAGAATTTCCAGCAATGTAACTGGTGTGACCCATGCCAGTCCTCGGCATGCCTTCATCCTTGTCCATGCTCCCCATAAGCTCACAACTGGGGGTCCAGCCCGAGTGCTGCAGGCCCTCTTCTATTCCTCCTGACATCTCCGGATAACAGAGACGAAGAACTTGGGAAAGAGATCTTTTGGAAGGGGGAGACTGAGGAGCTCTTGAATATTAACTGTCTGTTTTCAAAATGAGTCCTTTGTGTGCCTGGAGGTTGGGGCTGAGGTCGGGAGCGCAGTGTAAAAATGACGGCCTAGTTGACTGGCCCGAGGATTGCTGCAGTCATCTGCACTTTTTACTTCTCTCTTGCCCTATCAGTCCGTCAGTCATTGATTGATTTTTGCCCCGTGCATTCACCTTCAGGTTTTCAAGTTCTGGCGTGTAAGCTGCACCTGGAGCTCAGAACTCTAACCAATAAATAAAGGTTCAGGTTGAATAGATGAAGGACTAATCCAGTTTGTTTTTTTTTTCCTTGTTTTATGACAGTCAGCTGCTGAATATGTGAAATCCCGCCTGCCTGAGGTCCTGAAACAGCATCTCCAGGACTATGAAAAGGACAAAGAGAACAGCGTGCTGTCCTACCAGGCCATCCTGGAGCAGCAGATTCTGTCCATCGACCGAGAGATGCTGGAAAAACTGACTGTCTCCTACGATGAAGCAGGTATGGCTGACAGCTTCCTTCTTTGCAAAGGCGAGAAGAATGTGTCTGGGCCGTTGCCAAAATTAGTGCCTTTTGAAAAGGGAGGAGATGAATGGCAAACACAGGGTTCATAACTAGAGTATGCTTGAGAAAATTTTCTTATACAACATGAAATGTAAGACTTGTCTGTCGATTCCTGAAACAGGTGGTTAAATACCAAATCACTTAAAAAAGAGAAAGCTGTTTTACTAATGGGATTTTCTGGTCTCTTATCTATTATGAGTTCTTATTGATCTAATCTTAAATGTCAATTCTCTAGTTTGCTCTCTTTCCTTGGAAACATTAGATTAGTCTAGCTGAGAAACCATTTACTCATTCATTCAGTAGGCATTTATTAAGCACTTACTGTGTGTAAGGCACAGTGTTCTCTTCTAGGATAACAGAGACAAAAATAAAAACAGATCCTGCCCTCAATGTGTTCTGTGTTTTGTGAGGGATAGAATATCTAATGAAGGTATAAGAATTTGACAATCCTTTTCCTCATTATGTGCCTGACACATAGTAAGCACGCAATACATATTTTTCCTTCCTTTCTTCCATTGAGGGTTATTTGGGTTCCTGGCCTTCCTCAGTTTGGAGATGACTTTAGAAAGCTAGGAAGATGCTTAACTCTAAGCAGGGTGGCTGTAGCGCACTGAGAGCCGGACCAGAAGAAGATGGCGCCCTGGTTGCACCCTCACCCACTGCATGGCTATTGGTTGAGGAACTGGGCCCCAGTGGTTTTTGGTTTCTAAATCTATATGGTGAGGATTCAATAATTGTGCGCTTAAGTAATTTAACATTTATTATGATCTGTTAACATGTAATATGTGTTATAACATACATGTATCCATATATGTGTGTCTGTATATCTATATCCATCTGTCCATCCATCTATCCATCTATCTATCTATCTATTGAATTGTCTCCCCTTCCATCCCCTCCCCCCATTAGACTGTGAGCTCCTGGAGGGCAGGGATTGCCTTTTGCCTCTTTTTGTATCCTGAGTGCTTAGCACAGTCCTTGGCACATAGTAGATGCTTAGTAAATGTTGATTGAGATAGCTCTCACCTGGAGCACTTTGTCCTTCTCACCACCATTCCATGCATGCCATCTCCCTCAGACTTGGGCTTAAAACTTGTTTCTTCTGTGGCTGATGATAATTGCTAGCATTCATTTGCAAAACACTTTACTTACATTATCTCGTTTGGGCCTCCTAATAACCATCCAAGGCAGGAGGGCATTTTGAGGGGAGCTCATGCAAGCATATTCAACATTTTGTTAGATCCTACTCCATGCTCATTGAAGGAAATAATTTCAGTAAACAGAAAAGAAGAAATAAATTAGAAAGATTTGTAATCTAGTCAGGAGTAATTTTTCCTAATAGCTCACAATATATTTGGATCAGGTGGTGAGAGAGATCAGATATTTCCTCTACATCAGATATTTCCGGTAACCAGCGGGAGTACCGTTGGACCTTGAACCCTGTGATAAGTATGTAGCTCAGATGCTTCATGCTGCCATAGTACCGTGTGCATTTTCCATTTTGGTCTCTCGTCCTCCTGAAACGGCCCTCTCAGTTTTAGGAAGTGGCTCACTGGACGGCATCCCAGTCTCTAGAAAGGCTAATCCATCGTTAATGCCTGTCCTCTGATAAATCCTCCTGAATGCCGTAATGGATAGCGCCCCCATCGGCGGTTCCCTTAAGCCGACCACCAGAAACCAACGAGTAAGAAACACTTCTGAGGCATTGTTTAAAGCGTTGGCCCGGAGTACTGGGTGGCCAGTGCTTGGTTTCCCAGCCTTCTCTCGGTCCTTCTCTCTCTCTCTTTCCTCCTCCTCTCTCCTTCTCTTGTGTCCGTGTATGTCTACAAGTACACCTTCCCTATATAGAATGCTAAAGCTGGAATAACTAACGTTTACATGACCCTTGAGGGTTTGCAGAGGGTCTCCACGACAACCCTGAGAGTTCGGTGCTATTTTCAGCCTCATTTTACAGCTGAGGAAATTGAGGCTTGAGCGATTAAGGGACTTACTGATACGTGTCTGCAGTGGGATTGGAACCGACGTCTTATTGACTCGAGGTCTAGCACGTAACACCTCGCTAGGTAACTGCCTGGAAAGGGACTTCCATGATCCTCTAGTCTACCAATGTCTCATTTTATGCGAGGACAAAGAAGGCTCAGAAAGGCAGACACAGCTGCCAAGTGATGCAGCGGAGAGAGCCTGGGATTTCTGAATTTGCAGGAACTGAGTTTGAATCCTGCCCCAGACCTGTACTATCTGCTTGACCCTGGGCAAGTCACTTAACCTCTCTCTGCCTTAGTTTCCTCATCTGTAAAGTGGGGATTATGATTGCACCTATCAGAAGAGATAATCAAATGAGATATTTATAAAGCACTTTCAAGCCTTCGAGTGCCATATAAATATTAGCTGTTATTTATTTTTGTGGTAAAGCAGCATCAAAGCCTGATCTTGAACCCAGGAATGCTGATTGCAAGCCTTCTTTCCCTTGTACCATATTGCATTAATTCAGTTCACCTCAACAGACGTCCACTAGGTGGCCCCTAGGTCTGCTGAGGACTAGAGAAGCAGTCAGGCAAAACCAAAGCATTTGCTGTCCTCAGGGAGCGTGCAGTCTGCTCCGAAGGGGATACAGGCGTAGAACGCCGGCGCGGTTGGATGAGTGCAGACCTTCTTTATATAGATCACCAGATCCTCCTTCAAGGAGCATCCCTTGGGGGGGCAGGGGCCGTGTATGATGCAACACAGATAAATCGGTCTTTAATTATCTGAAACGCTCTGAGAACCAGACAGTTTCCCAAAGTACTTCTGAGTCCCTAAATACTTGTTACAAACTCTGTAGTCTAGAGCTGTGTTCTTTACCCAGAGGAGAACCTCCAGCCCCTCATTTATGAGCCTTGCTTCACCCCCAAGCTTAATGAAGTCAGCGTTCTAGTTTTCAAGATTAGATTAGATTAGAAGTAGCCAGTTAGAAATGGAGCTGAAAGCAAAGTCAGAGATAGAAACAGCACAGATGGACCGTGCTGCCTGGGGCCATTTAGTGCTAGGGTACATCACCCCTGTGCTACGCCCCTTGGGCTGCGTGGGTAACCCTGGAACACAAGACTGGACAGTGGTGGGCCAGAAGACCCACTCCCAGGGTCTGGACCAGCTGCTCTGTCCAGAAAAAGATGCAATGGGCCTGGGGAAAGATGTTCACCCAAAGGGTAAAACAAAAGAAGCATTCTGGTGCTTGGAGGGATCGGGGTTTAGGTAGCCTGGCATGCTAGAAATGGCAGGAGCCTGGAGGTGGGGAACCTGGGTTGTTGTCCAGGTGCTGGCTTCAGGCAGCTCTGTGACCTGGAGAACGTCACCTGACTTCTCTGGGACCTAGCTTCCTGGTCTCCTTTCCAGCTCAAGATTCCGTGCTGGTGGGCTTAAAATGTCTGGAAAGTTTGGTTCTCTCCAGAATGACTCATTCCTCTCCGGGTTCTGGATAGGGAGGGAGGGTGTGGGATATGGATATGTGGATACGTGTGTATGTGCATATATGTGTATGTGTATGCATACACATTTGTTCCAGCATCCGTGGCCTAGAGCTCCATTGTTTACTCGGGAGTAGATATGTTTCAAAGAATGAGGAGGCTCAGAAATTGACTTTTCATGATTTAGCGGAGATGTTGGCATTCTTTTTCTTAGGTATTTGCATTCTTTCAGTAAAAGTACAGTGAGCCTTCTTGAAGATTAACCCTTGACACATGCCTCTCACCTCTCAAAGTGGTGGTGTATCAGCGTGGAAGGAGGCATCCATTGTCAGACTGAGCAGTGTGCTGCTTTACTTTGCTATCCCCTACTCCTTTGTTAAAAAGGTGTTGTCTGGGTGTGGGAGGTGGGGTGAGGGTGGAATCATTGGGAAGTGATAGTGATGTTTTACGAAGACTATTAATAAAACATTTTTTAAAAATTAACCCTGAAATATAAAAATACAAATGGGTATATATCCCATGTGGTTCCTGTTTATACATGCAAAGATATTACAAGCCCTCCCCAGGTATCTGCATTGTATTATCTTCCTAAAAGAAGGAAACCTCTCAATCTGGCTAGCATCTCTATGCAGATATATTCAGTCTTGCATTTCTTGGTGGTGTGGGTCGGTTCTGAAAGACTGTGAGTCATGCTGTTTTGAGAGAAAAAAAGCCTTTCTAAGCTGTCTGTCTTTTGTGAATCCATTTTTAGTTTGGGGAGATTCCCACACGCATGTATCCCAGTGCTCAGTGAAAGCCACGTCTATGCTCTTGGGACCATTTGGATGGATGGGTGCTGATCTGTTTCAAATTGTGACAGAAACTCAGCCTCCATAGAAAAAGGGCTTAGGGTAGAGACCTCTCTGAAGAAGTCACACACATATTTAGACATATACATCCATCCATATGTATACATACATACATGCATGATGTATGCACACACACACACACACACACTAAGCAAGAGACCTATGAATGTCCTCCATAGGGGAGAGTGTCATTAGATCTCAGGGAGTGTCATTGTCCCAGAGAGGAAACTTTCATAATTATTTGGTCAGACAATCATTATCATTCCCCCTCCCCCTCCCCCTCCCCCCGATTCAACCTGCATGTTCTGAAAGAGGGGATGGGGTCCAACCTGCTGAGTCCACAGAGTAGAATGAAAGTCGTTACTTATGGTTGGAAGTTTCTATTCCTTCTTACCTTCAGGCTGAATTTCAGAGTGGTTGGAGCACTCTTGAAGGAGAAGGAAGAAAAGCTGAGTGATTTTTCCTTTAGGGGATAAAAGGAGTAGCTCATCCAGGGGTGAAGCCTGTAAAGCCCTTCTCAGAATCATGTTTTTAAATACAGAGCATAAAATGTTTAGGATTACCGACGAATCCAACTTTACTGAAATGCAGCCATCAAAATATGTTTAAAAACAAGTTGATGGTCCCAGGTTGGGAACTCCTGAGC